GAGTGTGGCAGCGAAGCGTGCTGGCTGCTGCGGGGTGGAGATGGGGAAAACACACCAACTATGAAAGGGCTTCGGAAGCATCGTTTAAGATTTCTGTCTTCTCTTCCCCAGGGCGGGTACCAGGGGGTGTATATCCCATCAGGAGTAAAGTTCTTAACCTCCCCGACTGCCTTCCTGTGGGGCTGTTTCACACAGGAGGTCCCGATAGGTGCTCTGAAAGGTAGCTAGCTGCCTTCAGGAAATGGTGGAGGAGATGCCCATCGGTCCGCGTGGGACGGAAGCTGGGTGTCCTGGTTACTCCTGGCTAACTTGCCACAGCTCCTGTTAGTGAGTGAGGAGGCAGAGAGCACGAGGCCCGCAGTCACTGCATCACAGCAGTGTTCGCTTGCACAGTGTTGCAGGAGGACTTTGGAGTTTTATTTCTCAAGACGGAGATGTTTTGAGAAATCGCCGCTGAGAGGTGGTGGCTTGTGGAACCTGCTCCGCAGGGTCGGGAGAATTGCTTCACGCACCCTGTCCTCGGCCTCCTGGGAGGGCGCAGCTCGGACACGGCCCTCTTCCTGTGCCCCTTATCTACGTCTCTGGCAGGACAACCCGAGCTGTGCGGATCCTTGCTTCCTCTATTTTAAATGGGCAGGCATAATTTTCGTGTAATATGTGTGAAGATGCCTCGGAATGCATGCATGGAATAATTTTGTGTGCTTTCCTACATGCCAGGAATTGTTGTTGTTATTATTATTATTTGCCAGGAATTGTTTTAGACTAGGGTCACCATAGTGAATAGGAGGCAGTATATATAATAGTAAGTCCTTACTTAACGTGTCAATATGACTTTCAGTGAAACGACCCATAACAAAAACAATTTTATTTATTACTAGAGGCCTGGTGCACAAAATTCATGCATGGAAGGGGGTCCCCTCAGCCCAGCCTGCACCCTCTCCAATCTGGGACCCCTTGGGGGATGTCTGACTGCCAGTTTAAGCTCCATCCCTGGGTCTGCTGTGTGTCAGGAACTTTTGGCAGGTGCTCACTACCCCCCCTTGAGTTGACTGCTGTCTGTTTTGAGGGATTCATTTTTTAGCCTCAGATACTATGTGGGTGACATTTTCTAAGGGAGGAAAGACTGAGTGCTTTCAGTTGGGGAGCTAGGAGTTCGGGGCACAGTGACGGACTGCGGTCTCCCTGGGCAGGGAGAACCTGTGGCTCAGGAGGCTTGCTTTGCAGAATGTGTTTGTTTTTCATCTGTGATGGCTGAAGGGCTGGCCTTTCCCTGGGATCGGACCTAAACCAGCAGTCAGACATCCCTCTCACAATCCTGGACCATGTCTCCTAATTGCTCACCTGCCTGCCTGCCTGGTCATCCCTAACTGCCCCCTCCTGATGGCTTGATTGCCTCTCACTGCCTCTGCCTGCCAGCCTGATCTGATCGCCCCCAACTGCTCCCCCCCCCCCCTCGCAGCTTGGTCACCCCCAACTGCACTCCCCTCACAGCCTGCTCTTCAGTCATTGGGTCGTCCCTCACTAACCCCCCTGCCGGCCTGGTCATAGGCAGCCATCAATAGGATTATTACTTTTAATAGGTTTTTACTGATTTTAGAGAGAGGGGAAGGGAGAGGGATAGAGGGATGGAAACACCAATGAGATAGAAACATTGATCAGCTGCCTCCTGCATGGCCCCTAATGGAGATCCAACCTACAACCAGGGCCTGTGCCCTGAGCAGGAATCAAACTGGTGACCTCTTGGTTCATGGGTCAGTGCTCAACCATCGAGTCACCCCGGCTAGGCAAAAACCAATTTTATTACATCTGCAAGAGTTAGTTTCTACAGCACCTCATCAGCAGTATAACAAACTGACGTCCTGATCCAGCACCTGCTCTATGCACTCTCAAGACTCAGAGTCGGGTGATGAAAACAAAGAGAGGCGGGTAAATCTAGGCTGAGAGGAGGAAAGCTTCAGTGGGGACAGGATTCTCATGGTCCGTTTTGTCCTGGGAGTTGTTCGCTGACCCATCTTGCTCTAACTGATGACACTGCTTCCTTGTGACATGGCACTTCACAGTGTGCCCGGAGCGGCTGGCTCCCGGGGCGCAGGCAGAAACCAGCACTGTGTGTACATGGCTTGTCATTGCTGTCAACATAGGACGCTCAGCCCTGTGGGGAATGTTTACGAGTTGATTTAGACCAAACTGACCACAGTGCTGGGAAGCAAGAGCTCAGATGCCCTGAGAAGGACAGTGGGGCAGCTTTTCATACTCTGGAGTTAAGGGAGGGAGGTAAGGAAGATGACCTAGAGGTGGAGAAACCAAGCGGGGCAGTTGAGGTTCTGTGCTCTGCTCCCTGAGGGTGCCGCCAGGGGATCTGAAAAAGGCATTTCAAAGGCCTTCTTCACCTGGAGGCACAGAACCAACAGCAGCTCATATCTTTTCCTCTGAGTCGTGACCCATTGAGATGAAAATAATTATTTTGCAAGCCCTGGGATAAACGCAGGGGTGACACCCTGACTCCTTTTTCCGGCCCAAGCTCTCTGCCTCCCTCGGCCTGTTAGTTGGCAGTGGCGTAACTGTGGGCAGCGCACAGTCGTCGGCAGCACACAGTGTATTTCCCGAAGCCTCTTCAGCATTGTTATCCAGGCAATCAGCACGGCATTGCCAACAGATCCCGGTGGGGCCAGCACCTGCGGGCCGCCCGCCTTCAGCCCACCTTTCTGCCCTCAGACCTCTGTCCCTGCCTCCCTCCTGCAGAGCAGAGTGCTGCCCCGGCTGGGGCTGGAGCTGGAGGGCAGACGCTCCTGCTCCTGCGCTCTGTTCCCTAGTGGAGAAATGCCTGAAGGGGATGGCTGTGCTGTCCACTGGCCGAAGGGTCCTTGGTGCATTGGTAGCCGCCAACAACATGGCGGTGTGTGCTGTCGCTCCTACATTAGCAATGCCGGCTGTGATCCCTTCCTCAAGGAAGTGTCGCCGCTGGAGAGGGAACTAGTTTTGCCTTGTGGTCACCCTGGTGTAAAGACCCTGTTCCTCAAACAGCTTTCACCTGCAAGGGTAGCACCAGTGCCGTTCCTAACCACCCATTGTTCTGTACTTGCCAGGTGGCGCCCTGTAGCTGTCCTTCCTCCCCCGTGCATTAATGGCTATTTATTTGTACCCACGTGGGCTTGTGCATTTCTGTCTTATTCAGTGGACTCTAATCCCTGTTCTCGTTATTTATTTCGATGATTAAATTGTTAGCCAGTGGGAGCCCTTTCTAACAGGCAGCCGTTTCCATTAGATGCGTCCCCTGCTTCCTCTGAGCACTTCCCTCCTTTCTGGCTGCGCATCTTATACTTTCCAGTGGGCCTGAAGGCACGTGTTTTCAGTGAGCACACCAAAACAGTGCGTTCCAAAACAGCCTGCTCTGTACACCACTGGGTTGTTTGTGTTGTTCCGGTCTTGTGTTTATGTGTTGGGAGAGGAGACCTCATGACAGACCCTGGGTGGCTTGCTCTCTGTGATGTGGGGAGACTGTGATAAGTATATAGATTGTAGGTATATAGAATAGGTATATAGAATAGGTATGTAGATAATTTGAACTAAAGTAAAGGTTAAGTACTAAAGCAGCTGTTCGGTTTTTTGTTTTTTTTTTAAATCCTCACCTGAGAAGTTTTTCATTGATTTTATTTTATTTTTTTTAAGAGAAAGTGGAAGGGAGGAAGGGGGGAAGAGGGAGAGAGAGAAAGAGAAAGGGAAAGAGAGAAACATCCATGTAAAAGAGACACATCAATTGGTTGTTTCCTGTTCACACTCCAAATGAGGTCACGGTTTGAATTGGCAATCCACATACGTGCCCTTTACCAGAAATTGAACCTTCGACCCTTCAATCCAAGGGTTGATGCTCTAACCACTGACCAACACCAGCCAAGGCTAAAGCAGCTGTTCTTTGAGCACTGATTGTATAGCTGTAATTTTTTTTAAAAAGATATATTTTTATTGATGTCAGAGAGGAAGGGAGAGGGGAGATAGAAACATCAATGATGAAAGAGAATCATTGATCAGCTGCCTCCTGCACATTTCCCACCAGGGATCGAGCCTGCAACCCGGGCATGGTACCCAATTGGATCATAGGTCAACCCTCAACCACTGAGCAATACTAGCTGATTAAATTGTTAGCCAGTGGGAGCCCTTTCTAACGGGCAGCCGTTTCCATTAGATGCGTCCCCTGCTTCCTCTGAGCACTTCCCTCCTTTCTGGCTGCGCATCTTATACTTTCCAGTGGGCCTGAAGGCACGTGTTTTCAGTGAGCACACCAAAACAGTGCGTTCCAAAACATATATAGCTATAATTTTAATTCCTACAAAGTTATAGCTATAGCTATAATTTTAATTCCTACAAAGACCCTTATTAAACAAGGAAACTGCTGAAGCCGGTTTGGCTCAGTGGTACAGTGTCGGTCTGCGGACTGAAAGGTCCCAGGTTTGATTCCGGTCAGGGGCATGTACATTGGTTGCGGGCACATCCCCGGTAGGGGGTGTGCAAGAGGCAGCTGGTCGATGTTTCTCTCTCATCGATGTTTCTAGCTCTCTATCCCTCTGTCTTCCTCTCTATAAAAAAAATCAATAAAATATATTAAAATAAAATAAAATAAAATAAACAAGGAAACTGAGGCTCAGGTGACTATACTGGCCAGAGAGTCCCACAGCTATTGAATGGTTGAGCCAGAGTTTCAGTTCACTGTGGTCTGATTTCGAAGTTCATTTTTTCTGATATACTTTGTCATGATGTAATACATTTCCTTACCCTAAATTATAGAATTTGTACACGTAACAATGCGTAACAAAAATCTTACTTGAAGTCTTTCACCTACTGCGTAATTTTGTGTCTGTATGGAAGTCAAGTCTGAAAACCGAGCATGTGGTTCACCACAGTGTGCTGTCACGGGAAGTCTGCGTGTTTTCGTTAGAGTGACTTGGCTGTCCTGATGTTTCTAACCACCGAGGATTCCCTAACCTTTTATTTTCTTCCTATAGGAATTTGCTTACTAGAAAACAAAATGCAAGACTTGACAAACAAAATGACTTGGGATGGAAGTTATTTGGAAAAATACCACTCCGAGAGAATGCTCAGAAAGAGTCAAAGAAAGTACAAAAGGTATACAAGATACACACAGACGTGTGCTGCGCAGCATATGCTTCTGAACCTTGCAAAAGTGACTGTTCTGGAGGTTTTGAAACGGGGAAACTGTACTAATTTGCATGCCAAGTTCCTAACACTCAAGCCTGTCTTCAGCATGTCAGTGACTTTAACCTTTGTCATTTCTGACAGTTTGTAACGGGCACAGCAGTGTTCAGTTGAGAGAGCTGGGCTTTAGATATCCATAACTTGATTTAATGTTATCACTCTTTCCTAGTAAGAGTTGCAATGTGTCTGTGGCTGATTTGTATGGACTGTGTTTGATAGTAAAGCATGCCCCCTCTCTGATCCCCTGGGTTTCCTGGGACTGCATCCTTCCGGTGCTGCTTTGGCCAGGAAGGCCGGGCAGTTGTTCACCAGCTGTACTGACCCTCCCTTTGCTGGCCCTGGAGCTGCCCACCTGTCTGCCAGGGTGGGCATAGGCTTCGGATCAGGCCTGTGGTGTCTCATCACTACCAGGCTCCCCGTGGGGGCAGGTGCCAGCAGGTGCTCATCTTGTCACGGAGGGGCTCGGGCAGGGACACAGCAGGCAGGGGCTGACTTTTACCACCAGCACCTTCTAGGCTGTGTGCCCAGGCATCCCTGCAGTCCTGGTTGCCCAGAGCTGCGACCCTGCCCCAGCAGCCGCACCCCTCCCACCTGCTTTGTGTTCATTGGTAATCGTTGTGAACACCGAAGGGTGGATGCAGGCCCTCGCTCCGCACCGGGGTGGGGGTGGCACAGCCCCTGTGCTCACAAGAGGCTTCTGGGAGGAGAGCCTCCCACCCAGGGGCTGGAAAAGCAGCACAGGTGCCTGGGGAAGGCGGCAGGGCCGTGGGCAAGGCCATCCAGGAGCTGAGTGTAAAGGTGTGATGGAGAAGTCCTAACGATGGGGTGGCTCATCTATTGAGTGGTTACTTCTGCTAACTTCACGTGAGTCAGCACTTAGGTTTCTGGCTCATTTAAAGCTCGCAACATCCTTATGAAGAAGATGCTATTGTCCCCATTGTACGGAGAAGCGTGTAGACACAGGCAGGGAGCAGCGGGCTGACTGTCGGGAAGGGGCAGCGGAGCAAGAGGTGGGGCGCTGTCCAGGCCCCTGTGACATGACGTGACGTGACGGTGATGTAACGTGGCGTGATGACCCTGGTCCCTGGCTCTGGCCTGCAGGCTCAGAGTGATGTGGTCACCCTGGGGAGAGTGTGGCTCTTGGGCTAGTCCAGGTGAGAGAAAGGGTTGTCTGGCTCCAAGCTGTGGCAGTAGCGGTGGCCGGGGTTGGCTCCGCTGAGCGTGAAACATGGTGGATACGGCGTGCGGTGTGTGAGGGAGGCAGCATGCACACGTTTGGTCTAGCCTGGGCAACACGGTGGGTTTGCACCTGTTTTGCGCCTTATCAAATTAAGTTTGTTCTGATTGTGGCCTAACATTCCTCAGAGCTGGTGTCTGGAGCCAAAATAAATCAGTGTTGGAGTTTGTATCTTAAATTTGGATCGCTTCTCGTGTAGACTTGTTAAAATACATAAAATGAAAATATAATGAGTTTGTTTGTAAAACTCAGCAAAATACTTCTTAAGAAACCAAGTAACCACACAGTTAAAATATTTTAAAAGGAATCTACACTTTCAAAAAAGTAGCTATCGTACTAAGCAGATTTATTCTTGATATCACTTGCGTCCTGCTTAAATTTCTCTGCCATCGTTGCCATACATTTTCCGAAGATAAGCATGGATAGGTGCTTTGACTTCAAGGGGTTTTGCGAACTGGAATGAACAGGCCAGCTAACTGTGTGGTAACACAACACTGCAGAGAAGAGCGCCGTCTGGCTGCAGCCATCAATAATAAAAGGTGTAATTGTACCTGCGTGAGTCATGCGATCCTGCCAGCCCTCTCATCTCTCCTCCCTCGCGCCCCCGCCCCCAAGCTGCAAGGCCTGCGAGGGATCCAGAGCCAGGGACCTGCCCCGTGGTGGGGAGGCGCCTGGGCACCCGCTCTAGCTGGCTGCTGTCACAGAGGGCAGCTCGCACGCCGCACAGAGCCCGTGCCGGGCCTGAGTGCTAGACCGAGGTCCCAGGGGGTGATGGCAGCTCCGGCAGAGCGCAAGCACCGTCAGGTGCTGGGCAGACAGCTCCTTTCCCTCGGAGCGTCACGTGGTGACAACGCGGTGCTGGAGCCAGCCTGGCCGCCAGGCTTTGGACACGTTACTTCCCCTCATTGAACCCCATTTTCCTCCTCTCTGGAGTTTGGAGAACAGGAGTCCCTGCCTCTGAGGTGCGGGTTAAAAGAGTAAATATTCACTATGTGCTCCGAGCAGCGCTGAATGTCTCCGGTGCTGGGGCTGTTTGCTGTTCTGGGTTCTGTCCAATGAAAGTCTGCCGTGGACAACAGGAAGTGAACCTGCATGCGAGAATGAACCTGGCCTGCTTTTCTCTTCATTTGCTGGTTCAACACACACTGCCGTGTTGGGCCGGTCATGCCGGCTCAGAGGGCTTCTCTGTCTGTGGTCACCCCCTGGGAGATCTCAGCTGGACTCGTAGCTTCGCATGTCCCGCCTCTGCTGAGAGCCCCCACGTATGTTTCCAGCCGGGACTGCGTCTCTGCTCCAGATGTGGGCTGCAGCTGCCCGCTGGACAGTTGCATGTGGATGTCTATCGGCATTTCCTGCTTAACAGGCCTACCCTTTATTTACTTCCCGCCCTCTTGAACCTGTTCCTTTGCATCTTCCTCATTTGGTAAATGACAGACTTGACCCTTTCTTTCAGGTCTAAAAATTATTTTTTTAATGTATTGAAATATTTTTTGAAATATTTTTATTGTATTTTTTTTTGTTTAGTTCAGTATGCACCATTTTATTTTATCTTTAAATCTTTATTGTTGATAGTATAACATATGTCTTCTCTTTTCCACCTTAGGCTCTCCCCACCTACTGTCTGTGGCCATTGGTCAAGCATGTATACATACAAGGTCTTCTGTTGATCACCTCCCACCCACCCTCCCCTGCCTTCCTCCCGAGATCCGCGCTCTGTGCCACGCTTCCCGGTCTAACACTTTAGAACTGTTCTGTTTCTCCTCTCACATGCCCGCCAGCGCCAATGGCTGTTCATGCTCCCGCTCTGCAGGGGCCCGATGATGCGCAGCCTTGCTGGAGCAGCAGTGGCTGGGAGGGACTTTTCAGGGGAGTTGTGAGGTGAAGCCGTTATCAGTCCTGCCGCTGTGGCCTGGCATGGGATGGCACGGCTCAACGGCCCCCAGTTGCTTGGGTTTTGGGATATGGGGAATGGACTTTTTAAAGATAAGTTAGCAACACATACTTCCTCATTATATTAACTTGTAGAAGATGCTAGCAAATTAAGAAATTGGGAGTCTTGCCCCAAATAACTACTGTTTGCATATTGGTACCTTTCCTTTATGTAATTTTTCCACGCATGTTCTTTTAATTTTTTAAAAGAAGAGACCACTAAGAGGTAAAAGTGGGTCTTTGTAATTTGGGTGGGTGTCAGAAGGGTGCATGGCTGCAAACATTTAGGACAGAAGTTTTATGTTTTTGGGTTTTTTTTGGCTATACTTTTATTTTCCGAAGTATATAATCAGTGTTTTTTTTTTCTTTTTAACAGCATCTGATCTATTTTTAAGACGACTTGATTAACAACAAAAAAAATCACCTTCTTTTCCAATTTACTAAAAATGGCTAAGAATAAAATTATTAACAGTAAAGTGATGTCATTTCTTAGTCACTCAGTATGCTTACCTTTTTATTTATTTATTTATTTTTAAATATTTTTTAATTAAATTATTATCTATGTACATATTTTAACATTGCCCCCCCTCCCATCCATACCCTCCCTTCCTAGAGTTTTGTGTACATTGGTTGTACTTATATGCATGCATACAAGTCCTTCGATTGATCTCTTATCTCCCCCAGGTCTCCCTACCCTCCTAGCTGTAATTTGAGTCTGCTTGTTGCTTTACTGTCTTTATATCTGACTTTTGGTTCATCAGTTTATAATGTTCTTTAATATCCATAAATGAGAGAGGTCATGTGGTGTTTTTCTTTCATTGACTGGCTTATTTCACTCAGCATGATGTTCTCCAATTCTATCCAGGTTGCTGCAAATGATGAGAACTCCTTTTTTTATGGCAGCATAGTATTCCATTGTGTAGATGTACCATCGTTTTTTTGATCCAATCATCTGCTGACGGGCACCTACGCTGTTTCCAGATTCTAGCTATTGTAGATTGTGCTGCTATGAACATAGGGGTGCATATATCCTTTCTGATTGGTGTTTCTAGTTTCTTGGGATATATTACTAGGAGTGGGATTACTGGGTCAAATGGGAGTTCCATTTTCAGTTTTTTGAGGAAACTCCATACTGTTCTCCACGGTGATTGCACCAGTCTGCATTCCCATCAGCAGTGCACAAGGGTTCCTTTTTCTCCCCAACCTCGCCAACACTTGTCATTTGTTGATTTGTTGATGTTGGCCACTCTGACAGGTGTGAGATGGTACCGCATTGTTTTGATTTGCATCTCTAGGACAGAGGTTTTTTTTGTTGGTGTTGGTTTATGTTGTTATTTTTTGTTAATCCTCACCCAAGGATATTTTTTCCATTGATTTTTAGAAGGGAGGGAGAGAAGGAGGGAGAGACAGAGGCAGGCAGACAGATAGACATTGATTGGTTGCCTCCAGCACGTGCCCCAACCAGGGCTGGGGATCGAACTTGTGCCCTTGACTGGGAACCTAACCCTTGACCCTTCAGTGCTTGGGCCAACGTTCTAACCACCTTGCTACAGTAGCTGGGGCAAGGACAGAGTTTGTGAGTCTTTTAAACGTAGCACTGTGTACACAGGCTTGAGAAATTGGCACTATTGTCAGGAAATGAGGTTAAGCAGAAAGTTTGGGTCCTGGTTGGGCTCTGAGGCAGCAGCTGAGGGTGGCCAGCAGAGCTGAGGGAAGGGCAGGCTTGTGGAGGGCAGTGGCCTAG